TTTTGTTATATATGGAACTTTGATTGAGGCCTCACTTAGAGCTTCGAACAGGGCCAATAAATGTGACGGCACGGCCCTGCACTAGGACACTGATGGGCTAATTAATTACAAAATAGTTGATGTAGAAGTTTAGAAGTTGTTGGGCAAGCCGGATCTCAACGTGCAGCCATACAAAGTACTTGCCGAGCACTAGAAACTGCAAGAGTCAAATAAACCCATGAAAATCCTATTTTCAACTCTCCATATATCCAAAATCTAATGATTTTCAACCCCTATCTTGAAACTATTTAAACGGATAATTAGATCTAAAAGTTCACTTTTAATCATTTTCAACATTCCTGTATTCTTTTTTGAAGTATCACGATTCGACCCGTCAAATGGTTAAACCGACTCATACAAGAATTTGTTTTCGAAATAATAGATGTTTAGGAGAATTTTAAAATGAATATTTTTAGAGGTGCTAAAAAACAAGCATCTAGTAGAATGAGAGAGGGTTCCATATCAAACCATGCAAAAGATCACAATCTAGCACCGTCCAGCAATTTACAAAGGCACGATCGAAAATCGGCCCAGTTTTCATTCTATACAAGATAAATTGTAACTGAAATCCAAAATTCATTTCGATTCAAACATCTCTCGCCAAACTAGAGAGATCGACATCTCCATCGATGCCACTATCATTACTTGGAAGAGCTTCCGGTTGAGGGGAACCCTCGACGTGAATCCCACGCTCGCCAGACGATGGGCGGTTTGGTACACCAATCGAGCTGAAGAACTCGTTCTTCAAATCCTCGGCTGCCTCGAAAAAACGGGTCATGCCTCCGAACAAGTCTTGCTCGATCCCTTCAATGTCACGACGCAGCCCTGGGAAATAAGACTCTGAAGGGAATGGGCCTTTGGTCATTTGTTCTGTCACATCCTCTTCAGTGTATTCTTTGGTAGATTGTACCATCTCACTTGGCCTAAATTTAAGAAAGAAAATGTAAAGAACGATGATTATTTGCTCAGACCTCTGAAAACAACTATTAAGTAAAACAAACAAGATTTATTGGAATTTGGACATTTGAGACTCCGCACATACCACTCGTTGTTAACAAAGTGTGGTGTGTAGATCCTCTTCGACAAAAATTTATGTGATGTGATTCACTTCACTAATTTCAACAGACTACCGAGTTTTTCAACTGTCAAGCTTTTTGTTTAAGAAAAAGAAGATCATTTCGTGTTGCTCTAGCTCAGCATTTTAGCTAGAAAAATTACTCAGATGCAAAGGACTGGGAAGATTTCGGTCCTCCCATTCTGCAAATCATATCTTCACCTTAAGAACTCAGAATCTGCCGAGTAAGCTAATTCGACCCTCCCGGTATGGGCACTGGGTTCTAAACTGTTCAATCACACACACACACACACACA